AAGACAAAGGGCGGAGTTGCAAATTGCTCCCGCCCGTGATCGCACTTAACGGCAATCAAACGGCAACGAAATTCCAGTTGAAACTTTATATTTTTAGCTTGGACGTGGCCTGGCCAACTGGGGACTGAAGATACAAAGAACGGAACAGGTCAATTTAGAAGAGGTCCAAAATCGTGGAGACTCGTGGCGGATAGTACATCGTTCCATACTTCTCTCAGCTGAAAAGGCTCAACTGGGATTATATGCAGCCTGGAGGTCACCGGTTCGATTCCGGACGGAGTCACACCACAGTTTTTTTTCGCATGCGGTCTACAGAGGCACCCCAGGTAAGGCGATTATGCTGTAGGAGCATTGATCCTTATGCTGACGGATTTGAACCAAAAAATGGCCAAATCTCTCATCCATATGCTGACGGACTTGGCCCCTTTGAGGGCGAATGTCCGATCCAAAGTGGCGATGGAAGTGGCTGGCCGGCTTGCATGTCGGATCTTTATGCGTACGGATAGAACACTCTTCGCGGTGCCTACCGGGTGACAAACACACAAATTGCCTTCAAATTCTCGATTTCAACCTCCAAGCATTGATTCTCGGAGGAAAGGCACCTTGCCGGCCGTGTGCCGCCGTAAATGTGCGATCCGTTATGCGGACGGATGGGCCCAAAAAATCGGTCGCCTGATCCGTATGCTGACGGATCTGCCGGCCGAGGCGCTGATCAGGTTTTTTGGATCGGACATACCGCGGCATAATCGCCTTACCTGGCACCCCACCATTCCGAACTCGCATTATTTTTGGTCCGCCAGACGAAAGCATTGTGTTGGTGTCTTGAGGACAGAAGGGTGTTGAAAGGACTCGGTGGGATGGGTCCCCGGCCCACGACTTAATAACGGTCAGAAGGCGACGGCAGAGTTTGGGTGGTGCTGGTTCAATTCCAGTGCACAGTGAATTAATAGTAGTGATGTGCGGGCTTGGCTTGGCCCGGAAACCAGTGCTTGGGCTTGGCTTGACCAGGATGGGTCTCGTTGACATTGATGCCAGAGCCAAAGCCATAAGCCTGCGAAGCCAAGCCAGGGCTTCTGGCCTGAGCCATGGCTTCGGCAGATCGCTTTCCCACGGTTCAAGTGGTGTCGATCTCACTTATTGTATCTGTTTGCAACACAATTTGCCTACAGAAATGGCCACACAAAGCACAAATTGTATGTATTCCCTGTAGAGCTCACCTAACTGCACATGAATGTCGAGGAAAGGCAAAACCGAGCTGTTCATCAGGTGTTTGTTTTCAGTCATCCAAGATTGACCAGAAATGTGTTGAACCCGATGTGATATGGGAATTTGCCCTTCTTACAAGTGAAAATATATGAAATGGGACTGGCAGCAACAATTTCGGCAGCCATCAATGCCATCAATTTTAAACCCTGGCTTCATGGCCTGGCTTGGGCTTGAAAATTTGATAGAAACCCAAGCCCACCCAAGCCACAAATTTGGCTCGGCTTGGCTTGCGAAACCATACGGCGTTGTTGGTGGGTAATGAATGGCGACTATCTAAGTATCTTATTTGGGACCGTGATTACAAAGCCGCTTCATCCACGCAGCACAAACAACGCGAACCAGAATGTAAACGATACAGCCGTGGCAAACACGACCGATGCAATCCACCAATCAACAAAATGCATCGCCGGGTCGTATATCACTATATTATACGCGTGCTGCGCGCCGTGTCCGAAGACGGAGCTTCCGCAAAAGCAGTTGTCAAAGAGGTTGGCGAATCGAAGAAGGTCAGATATTATGAAGACACTTGCGTTTAGCCATGCTAGGAGCTGCAATGAGGAGAATTAACAGCATGCAGGGGGGCAACGGCGCCGGCAAAAAATACCTTGCCAACGCGCCGGAACAATGTTGAGAGAGTCTTATACCGTGCACGCAAGGATGATGGAGGAATGGGTGGAGGGGTGAGTGGATTAGTACAGTGTTGGAACTGCTCAAAAACCTGGCCGAGGAGAATTATAATGAACACCGCAGTGGACATGAGACCATGCAGAAGGAAAGACACGCTGTGGCATCTACGAAAATTTGATCAGCCCTCTAATCCTGACGGATGAGAGGGACTTGAACGAACCCAAGCCCAACTGTGGGTGTCATCCACGCCGTCACGAAGGCGGCGCCCGTGCACGACCACTGCACTGCACATGCGACGATTGCGGAATAGACGACTCGACCCCATACTTCTGGGGCCCAGCATGTGGGTTGCAGTTCGAATTGGGTCGCGATGTATCCGGCGACCTCATTAGCACTCCCGGATCGGTTGGCTGGCTCGATAGACCTCTTGACCGATGAAGCGGTCCAAGCGCCATGGACCGCCATGCGGTTGCTAGCACGCATGGATGCCGCTTCAAATGCCTGCGCAATCTGCTCCACCGCACGTGCCCACGGGAACACGCGGGCGTAGTTAAAAAATGGCGGGCTGCGTGCTTCGTCGCTTCCATGAGAGTCTAGCACGGGGCCCAGTCAGCTAAATGTGCAAAGACTGGAGGCATGCTCACTATCTAGTGAGGGCCACACCGTAATTGCACATTCCTCCGTGAGGGAATCTGCCAGGACAGGCGGACCATACCCTGGTGGAGGGACGGAGACATAGAACATTTCATTCAGCGCAGTGAGATGCTTTCGAAGCTGCGACTCGTCGCAATTGGGTGAGTTCTGCAGCCATCCAACTACGAGCGGGAGGAGCCAGATCCACGCGCATGCGACGGCGGGGCCGATGATATTCATAGACGAGGGGTCCATGCACGCGATTGTGAAGATGTATGCGATGATCGCCCACCCGACCGACGCGATGTTCGCCATTGACCAAGTGTGCGTGAAGGCTAGCGCTGCTGCGCCATGTTCCCACCACTTGTCATTTTCTGGCAGGACTATCAGCGGGGCCAGAAGATGGAGCCGGCCGTCCGACGTGGTGCTTTTCACACGGAGAAGGGACTCTTGCAGGTTATTGAGGATAGTTACGGCCTGCTGGGTGTTTGGGTAGTACGGCATCTGCGCAAAGCGCCGCTTGATCCAGCGTGAATTGAGGACGGTAATTACGAGGGAGAACACAGCGAGGGTGGGTGAGCCGATGGTAAGCATGATTGTGGAGATGTTGTCCGTGTGGCTGGACCCGCCGAAGGGAAACTGGGCCGTGAGGGCCAGGAAAGGGAGCAGAAAGGATGTGGCTTGGTTAGAGAACGTGGCGAATTTGAAAGGCTCGGGAGCAGACCCGCATTGAGCAACGCACATCGGGTATGTCATGCCCAGCACCTGGGATACATTTGTCGCAGGTTTACCGTGCATGTCGACACCCCCGGTCCGCCAGAGAGTTTCGTTGCTCACAATTTTGGCGACGCAAGCAACGAAATTCGTGGATGACATTTGAGGAGGAAAAGGTGCAATGTTAATTACGTAGGTATCTCCTGTTGCATTTGCAGTGCCGGTGGCTTGACGTGGCGAGGGTGGCGTTCACTGTTGGATGTCGAGAGACAGACTCCAAGGAAGCAGTGAACCCGTTGCAGAGGTGCGGGGAATTTATTCGAACATTTACATGAATATATACTGGAGAAGGGCTGTTAAACTGCTGTAGAGAATGATAGAAGGAATACACAAAGATGAGCTGTTAAAAAATGCTGTTAACTGAGCTGTTAAAGTGGGCAGTGCGTGCACAGCAGTTGAAATTCCAACATTCACCCACCTGCCTTGACATGATGTTGGTGCACCATTCGATTCCAGGCACTGTAAATACGTGCGGGATTCTCCGCATTTTGGTGTATTTCTACTTACCTTGTACACCGGCGTGGAAGTGTGATGTGCCTTGCTCATCGCCTTCGGGTTGTGTGCAGGTTTCCACTCAAACCAAGTTTGTCGGTGCAACACCGCACAAATTTATGTATATTGCTACATATCTCGCATCCCACTCATTTTACCTCCACTGCTTTACCCACTCAATTATTCCTAGATTTCATTCACCTCTCAGCAGCTACAATACCACACATCTTACACTCAAGCTATTCAGACGTAGACCTCAAGTACAAATATTTCTCCATCCTCCAAATATTATCCCGAGGACCTTTCACACTCCACCTCACATCATCAGAATGACTCAATGGCGGATGGTCCGCACCTGCTTTCTGTGGGTGTTCAGGACAAATTACTGAAGCAGGATGAAACCGGTTCAATTCCGGGTTGGGTCATAGGGGTGTCTGATCATGAATATTTTTCCCCGCAACTTGACCGCAAAGACTCAGGTATCTACACCTAAGTTAGTATGTAGAACGACTCGATGGCGTATGGTCCGCACCTGCTGTCTGTATACGCGTCGAACAGGAACCCTTGAAAGCAGGATGAAGCCGATTCGATTCCGGGTCGGGTCATATGTTGATGTTGAGATCATTATTTTGAAACTTGGACCGCAAAAACTCAGGTATCTGTACCTCAGTCAGAACATGGAACAACTTGATTGTGGTTGGTCGGCACCTGCTCCCCGTGTGTCTTCAAGTATGAATCCTTGCAAGTGGTATTTGGTCTGATTCCGCGTCGAGTCATACAGCAGGTGACGAGATTTTTTTTCAACTTGAACTGCAAAAACTCAGGTATCTGCACCTCAGTTGAAGTGTAAAATGAGTCAATGGCGGATGGTCCGCACCTGCTCTCCGTAGGGGTCCATCGTGGAATCAGTGAAGGCAGAATGAAACCGGTTCAATTCCGGGCTGGGTCATGGGGAGTTCCAAAAAGCTTTTTCGCCCTCAACTTTGGCCGCAAAAACTCAGGTATCTGCACCCTAATTAGTGTATATAACGACTCGATGGCGGATGGTCCGCACCTGTCCTCTGTGCAGCAACATAGCCTTGAACTTGAAAGCAGGATGAAGCCGGTTCGATTCCGGATCAGGTCATATGGTGATGTTGGTAGTACTTTTCTTTTTCAACTTTGACCGCAAAAACTCAGATATCTGTACCTTAATTGGTATATGGAACGACTTGATAGCGGATGGTCCGCACCTGCTATCAATGGAGCTTTCAAGCAAATTCCTGAAGCAGGATGAAACCGGTTCGATTCCGGGTCGAGTCATCCATGAAGTGTAGAGCAAGGTTTTTCCCCTAACTTCGACCGCAAAAGCTCAGGTATCTGCACCTCAGTTAGTATATAGAACGACTCGATAGCGGATGGTCCGTACCTGCCCTCCGTGTGTGCTTGGGAAAAGTTCCTGAAGCAGAACAAAGCCGGTTCGATTCCAGGTTGGGTCATATAGCAGCATTGGCATAACTTTTTCACCTTCAACTTGGACTGCAAAAACACACCTCAGTTAGAATGTAGAATGACTCGATATCGGATGGTCTGCACCTGTTCTCTGTCAGTGGTTTCCACACTTGGAAGCAGGACAAAACCGGTTCGATTCCGGGTTGGGTCATATGTTGGTGTTGAGATCATTATTTTAAAACTTGGACCACAAAAACTTGTGTATCTACACCTCGGTTAAGATGTGGAACAACTCGATGGCGGATGGTCCGCACCTCCTCTGTGAAGTTTGGTGAAGGCAATTGAAGCAGGATGAAACCGGTTCGATTCCGGGTCGGGTCATTCGTGGTGGCAATGTGAGTTTTTCCCGACTTGGACTGCAAACTGAGCTCAGGTATCTGCACCTCAATTAGTATGTGGAACGACTTGACAGCAGATGGTCCGCACCTGCTATTAATGGAGCTTTCAAGTAAGTTACTGAAGCAGGACGAAGCCGGTTCGATTCCGGGTTGGGTCATACGTAGCACTTGAATGTTTTTCACCGTTAACTTTGACCGTAAAAGCTCAGATATTTCCACCTTAGTTAGAATATGGAACGACTTGATGGCGGATGGTCTGCACCTGCTCTCTGTGGATTTTTCGGAGAAACTACTGAAGCAGGACGAAGCCGGTTCGATTCCGGGTTGGGTCATACGTAGTACTTGAATGCTTTTCTCCGCAACTTTAACTAGAAAATCACCACACAATTTTGAGCTTGCATATCTGCACCTGGTTAGTATGTAGAACGACTCAATAGCGGATGGTCCGCACCTGCTCTTCGTCATACGGCATCTAGCCACTATGTTGAAAGCAGGTTCAACCCGGTTCGATTCCGGGTCGGGTCATACGTTGTTAAATTTCTTCCTTTTGTTTTGACTTTGACTAGAAAATCACCACACTATTTTGAGCTTGGGTATCGCACCCTAGTTAGCATGGAACGACTCGATGGCGGATGGTCCGCACCTGCTCTCCGTGAAGTCCATCGCGAAATCAGTGAAAGCAGAATGAAACCGGTTCGATTCCGGGTTGGGTCATATGACGGTGTCTGTCTAACTTTTTTGCCCTCAACCATGATCGCAAAAACTCAGATATCTGCCCCCTAGTTAGTATATAGAACGACTCGATGGCGGATAGTCCGCACCTGCTGTCTGTGGGATTTTCTTGTCGAAATTGAAAGCAGAATGAAACCGGTTCGATTCCGGGTTGGGTCATATGTCGTTTAATTTCATCCTTTTGTTTTGACTTTGACTAGAAAATCACCATACCATTTTGAGCTTGCATATCTGCACTTCAGTTAGAGTATAGAACAACTCGATGGTCCGCAGCTGCTTTCAGTCAGGGGTCCGTATGGAAATCATTGGAAGCAGGATGAAACCGGTTCGATTCCGGGTTGGGTCATATGCGAGTGCCAAAAGCCTTTTTCACCCTCAACTTTGACCACAAAAGCTCGGGTATCTGCACCCTGGTTAGTATGTAGAACAACTCAATGGCGGATGGTCCGCACCTGCTCTCCGTAACACATTAAGATAGTGCTGAAGCAGGACGAAGCCGGTTCGATTCCGGGTTGGGTCATAGTGGGGCGATATTGGGACTTTTTTTTTCAACCTTGACCGCAAAAACTCGAATATCTGCACATCAGTTAGAATATGGAACGACTCGATAGCGGATGGTCCGCACCTGCTCTCCATCATGGGCACTAATACCACTTGAAGCAGAACGAACCGGTTCGATTCCGGGTTGGGTCATATACATAGCGGTAAGAATCCTTTTTTCAACTTTGACTAACAAGGCACCACACCACTTTGAGCTCCAATATCTCCACCTTAGTTAGGATATGGAACGACTTGATGGCGGATGGTCCGCACCTGTTATCAGTGGTGTAGGACAGAAATATTACTGAAGCAGGACAAAGCCAGTTCGATTCTGGGTCGGGTCATACATCATTATCGGCCACATGGTTTTTGGTCTGCCAGACTAAATAATTCTGCTTGTGACATCGAGGACAGCCCGAGAAGGGTGTTGAGAGGACTCGGTGGGATGGTTCCCCGGCCCACGACTTGCCCTGAGTTGGCGCACAGCAGACGACCGTACGACGGCAGTTTGGGTGACGCTGGTTCAATTCCAGCGCGGTCAATACATGCAAAAGAATTGGGGTTTTTTTTTTGAGGTGAAATCGAGGAACACGTTTTGGGCGCCTCACCAACGTCTGGAGTTTTAGAGACTTGGCGCAATTTTTTGGGTCAAGTTGAGATTGAATTCAAATTGAGTCAAGATCAGATTCCAGGCCCGGAAAGCCGACGTCGACGAAACCAAACACGACCAAACTTTGAGACTTTTTTCCATCTCCCACAAAATGCTCGTCAACGCACTCCGGAGGCAAACGCGGATAGCGCTCGTCGCCGCCGTCCACCGCGCGGCCCCCACCCTCGTCGCCCGCGTCGCCACCCCCACAACCCTCCTCTCCCTGCGCGCACTCTCCACGACCCGACGACTACTTTATGATCAGCCCGCAGCGCAGACAGCGCTGGTCTCAGAAAACCCACCGAGTCGGCAGCTCTTCCTGGGAAACCTTGCATTCGAGGCATCTGAAGAGGACCTGCGCACCTCCCTCCAAGCATTCGGTGAACTCGAGTCTGTGCGGATAAGTCAGTTTTTTCCCATTCTTTAGATTTCTTTTCTTTTCTGACTTTGGCTCCCAGTTGTAAACCCCGACGGGTCGAGCCGCGGGTTCGGGTACGCGACGTTCCAAGAGCAGGGGGGGGCAGACGCATGCGTGGAGGCGGGGCTGTACATCTTCAACCGCCCCGTGCGCATCGACTACGCCGTGCGCCCCAGCAACCTCACCGGCGCACGCCCCAGCACCGGCGCCGCCCTCGGCCCGCCCTCCGCGGGCCGCAACCCCCCCGGGCGCGTCCTCTTCGTCGGCAACATGCCCTTTGGCTCAGAGGAGTCGGACATCCGCGAAAAGTTCGAGCCCTTCGGCCCGCTCAAGAGCGTGCGCCTCGCCGTGCGCCCCGGGGGCGAGTTCCGCGGCTTTGCGCACGTGGAGTTCATGCGTGTCGAGGACGCCAAGGCGGCGTACGAGAGCTTCGCGGAGGAGCCGCTGTATATGCTCGACCGCAATATTCGGGTGGACTTTGCGCCTGAGCGCCCGACGGCGGCGAACCCCCCGATCAACAAGCTGTATTTCTACGACTTCCGCGGGAACGAGGAGACGCTGAGGACGGCGCTCGCAGAGTTTGAGGGGAGCATCGTGAAGGCGCATTTCCGTGAGTATCCTTCTCTTTTGTTCTGGAAAAACGCACGCACTGACACGCCCACCCAGTACGCTCCAGCGTCACCGGCGAACTCACCGGCTCGGGCTTCGTCGAGTTCCAGACCGTCGAGCGCGCGACGCAGGCGCTGGAGGCCGTCGGCGGCACCATGACGCCCTTTGGCACGCTCAACCTCGAGTACGCGATCAACAAGCCGCAGATGTCGCGCCTCGCCGGGACGCAGCCCCCCGGCTTTGGCGCGCCCGCGCCCGGGTGGCGGGCACCCGGCGAGCAGCAGGGCGGCGGTGGCTTTGGGCCGCCGCGGAACGGCGGTGGGTATGCGGGCGGTGGATACGGGGGCGGGCAGGGCCGGGGCGGGGGATACGGGGGTGGGGGCGCGCCAGGTGGGTGGGGCGGACAGCAGGGTGGGGGCGGGGGCTACGGCGGACAGCAGGGCGGGGGTGGGGGCTATGGTGGCGGCGGAGGCTATGGTGGGCAACAGGGCGGAGGCGGACAAAGAGGCGGCCGCGGGGGCTACGGGCCGCCGGGCGGCGCCAGCGGTAGCCCAGTGTACTAGGCCTTCCTCCTGCTCTCCTCCCCTCCCCTCCTCCCTCCTCCCTCCTTCCTCACGACGACGTTCTCCCACCCTCCCTTAACGCTTTACCCTCGACCTCACGCCTAATCTCCCTCCTCCCTCCCACTACCTACCTACCTACACAAACACAAAATCATTGCGTCTAGCATCACATACTTATCTCTTTTACTCACTCACTCACTCGCATCGACAGTACGTACGAGTAGCGTACATAGACCCCGGGTCCATTAGGATGAATGGAAACGAACCGCCCACTCTATGACCGCTGCGTGCTGCGTTTTATCAGCCTTGGTTAGATTCTCAAGTTTTTGGATTGTAGAGAGGGTGTCCGGATAAGGAAATTAATTGCGCAGGAAGATGGTTACGTACAGCGCCTTTGATTTTGACTTCGATGGGCTGTGGATGCCGCCGGGTTGCAACTTTCTACTCTTGCCTCCAACTTGCCTCCCTAGGGGTAATTCTGCCCGGTGTCTACGACACTGCCTCCTGAACTGGCGTCATACACGACCTCGGATGAGTCGGACCTCCATGAGTACAAATCCTCAATAATTCCATCAACACCTCGTCCGGAACTCTCCAAAAAAAACTCTCTCCGAGCCTCGAGGAATTCCACAATGTCGCAAGTCAACGGGAGAAAAATGGTGTCCCGTTTCGCTCAAGACTCCAGCTGGAATCGAACCAGCTCAGTGCGCCATCCCTGCTACATGAACACAGTCACGTACTTGGCGGGATTCACTATAGAGTTTGTTACCCCCCAAAACTCTCTCCGTCTCCGAGCCTCAAGGAATCCGACAATTTTGCAAGTCAACGGGGAGAAAACATTTTTTTCCCTTGCTTCCAAGACTCCAGCTGGAATCGAACCAGCTTGCAAGTTGTGCTAACCCGACGCGCACGAATACTATGTATTCACGTACTTGGCGGGGTTCACTATAGAGTCTGTCGAA